ATCTTCCATGTCGACATATCCGCGTTCAACTAAAGTATCACCAGTTCAGTGCTTTAAGTTTATCGACGGGGGTAATACCTACTGAAATTCGCCGTAGATGATCTCGAACTCGGTCATAACATTTCATTACTTCGTCCAAATCAACCGATGCTCCCGTAATTCCCTCCCGCCGTCTCCGTTTCAGTTTCTCATCTACACCCCGTAGCTCCTTTCGTATGTCACTTCGGGTAGTACATTAGTCTCCGCTCATCGTATTTGCTTGTCGGGGCTTACTTGCACAAGCATTCTATGCTTGATGTCAAGACTGGAGGTGCACTTTCGCTCCAGTGTTGTCGCAGGGTTTCGAAAAGTGCGTCCAATTCATCATGCAGCTTTTGATATTCCTTTTTCGCGCTCGACACCCTCTGCGGTCAAATAAATACGTAATTATACTCGGCAAATGCCAACTATCCAGCCTACCTCAAATGTCCCCATGCAGTCTGCAACCTCCTTGATAGCAGCCTTAAGTGGACCAAGCGCGTTGGTCCCATGGTCTAGCACCGATTGTAAAGCAGCAAGGCTGGGAAATCCCCTTGAGCGCTTAGTGCCAGCGGGCGAAGGGCTCCTGGTGATGGGCAGAGAACTGGGCCCTAGACCTAAAAGTCCTCGCCCAGACCCCTCGGGGGGACCATTGTATGATTGTCCCTGACCCATGGTTATCCCTGGGGTCGAGGGTCGAGAAGTACTCCGCCCACCAGACGTGCGCGGGATCGGGGCGATTAGGCGATTTTTGGCAAGCATCGAAGGAGGATCACCCCCCGGTTGATGGCCGAGCGGATTATTGTTTGACATCGTCACTGCTGTCGGTCGTAGCTTTGTATCGATCCCTAACGTCGGGTTCGCCTCAAGACTTCGTCTGCGATTGGATATGTTTAAATGATTTTTCGGTCGAATCAATGATGATCTAGGAACCCCTTGGGTCCAGTATTCTCAGTGGCGATATTGAGAGAGAAAGCGATCTCGAATTACGGGTTTGGGGTTTGGTGGTTGAGTCCAAGCCAATCCTCCGCGCTCAGCGCCACGCGGTTAGGCTGTGCCAATGCGAATCATGGGATTGGACGCCGTTTTCGCCTGAGACCATGCGTCGTCGAAGCCCAGTGATAGGCATCATAAATTTTCTGTCACACCGGGATGTGGGGCAAACAATCAGGAGGGCATATAAATTAGCCCACTGGTCAACAAGACCGGGCACAAAAAGCAAAAAAGATTTGACACCAATGGGATTTGAACCCATGCGGTTTCCCACTGCGGTTTTGGATTACCTAAACACAGCGCCTTAACCACTCGGCCATAGTGCCTTGGTATCTTGGAGTGTGGTTTGGATAATATTCGCTCGCGGCCGCAGGGTGATCGGCATCAAAACTTTTGGAATGACAATTGCAAGATTTCGCTTGTTTTGATCCATCACCTCCGCTCGACCGCGACCTCATCCTCCCTCCGAATATCCCTCAATCATGGGAGCTAGTTCGAAACGTAAAGTGCGTCAACGTAGTTCAATAAAATTATATGTAAATTGCTAATGTTGCATCTCCAAGGCAGCCGTACCAGCCCCAGAACCAAATGACATCGATATGTCTGACGCCGAGTCTGGCATGTCCGGAGACGAAGACTCTGCTGTGACCAATAACGAGGAGAAATCTGGTCCGTCCGAGCCTGTCAATGCACCTGGAGTATTCCACGCACCGACCACCCAAGAGTTGGTCGAGCTACGAGAGGGATCTGAGTTATTTAAATCGAA